TCGGATGAAAAGGAGCTTTCGTCAAAACTGTCATCCGGGTGTGGGAGGAGAGTCGTGTTTCCGAGGACCTAGAGGATGGGTGTGGCCATTCGTGTCGTGCCCCGCCGTGTTTGCTCTTGGCCCCCAGGCTAAGCGTGTTGCTTGGATCGAGGTCCCAGGAAGTCGGTATCGGACGAATAGACTGGTGCTTTCTCGTGCGTCAAGAATGTGGGCATGGTCGTACAGATTTGCATACACCTTGAGCAAGACGATATCGTTATCAAGATGTTCGCAAAGTTGGTGCCGTGGGCCGAAAGGGTCGTCGGCTGTCTAGTGCTGGGTACCTTTCTGATGGCAGTCCCGACACGACAGCACGGCGGCCTGGAAGAAAGGGGGTGGAAAAGCGGCGAGAAGGGAAGATCCGCGAAGAACAAGTAGTATTGTATAATGGCCTCTCGTCGTCAAGTCGCGAGCTTGTCGTGTCGTTCCTCAATGGGTGTCTGCTCACAGGCAAATGCGTGGGCCGGTTTGAGCAGCAGGAAATGGTCGGAACCGTCTGCAATGGAGAGCGAGTTGTTGCCGGTCGCGGCGGCCAGGAATCATACAAAGGAAAATGCCCAGCAGTTTTTTGACCCAGAGACACAGGTCTATAATGTACATACAGTACAGCAACAGGTTAGGGTAGAGGAGGGGGTATGATATGGCGGACAGATTGAGATGCGTTTGCTTTGCTTCGGTCTGGGTCAGTAGGTAGGATTGACATTGGAGGGAAAGAGAACAGTCGTGGTCGTTGGGCAGTGGCTGCACTGGTGGCCGCCCGTCTTGCGCTTCTCAACTGGGCCAGGCAAGGACAGATGAGTGGGCCCGTCCAATCGACGTGCGGCCCTGAGCCAGTGGAGGGGCCAAAAAGCTGGGCGAACGGGCAAACAGTGGACAGTGGGCAAGAGCGAGAACGATGGTACGGCGGAAAGGCCTCGGATTCCCCACCGTAAATTCAAATTACGGCGCGTCGATGGCGCACCCAACTGAGCATCGCCGTATCTTCTCATGCCGGCTCCCTGGTCCACTCATTGAATGCCAGGCACTGCACCTCCTCCATTGTGCGGCGTGCCTCGGGTACCTCATTTCAAGGCTGAAGGCGCACCCGGAGTTGTCCTGACCTATCTTACCTACCTTAGGTAGGTAGGTAAGCTGCACAGGCCGAATCTGGGCTGTGAGGAGCACGGAAGCTTTCCTGGTTAAGACGAGCCAATAGTGGCCTACGGCGCTCTCGTGCAATGGCGACGACGCCCCTCGCATAACCTCTTTTGTCTTCCCAGACCGCTGGGTTTCTGCGACAATCGTTGTCATCCATGTCTCCCATCCTGAAAAGTCTCGCCAATGACATGTGCCCTTGAGATCCATCACGCTGTCGGTCACCGAGGTCTGCGCCTCGTTGCTGTTTCCCCTCCCGCCTCCCCGCTCCTCTCCTCTTCTTTCACTAGGTGACTTAAATGATTGCTGCTACTGTTGTTCGTGAGAGGCTCTTAAACACCCACAAATCCCATGTGAGGAGTCGTCACCAATCCTGACGAGATTGGAATGGACCCAGACGGCTTCGCCAGAAGGCCAATCGACATTTGAGCCAAGAGGGGAACTCTGACAAAGCCGGGGGCTAACAGGACTCCGGCCCCCGTCAGGAGAACCTGGCACGTCTGGAAGCCCCCGGAAGTGCTTAGGTAGGCATAGAGGTGGGTGAGGCCCTGGATAGAGCCCCCCTTATTCACGAGGAGCCCCAGGGTCTGGCTAATGCCTGTTCCCGCTTGACCTACCAAGCTTCTTGTCTGTGCCTGCCTGTAGCTATTCCATAACTAAAAGGTAAGCGAGACAAATCTCGAATCGCCTGTCGGGAGGCAGCCGGCTCTCCCTATCAAAGAGTCTCACCAACCGCAAAACACGTCCTTCCCGAGGGAACCGTGACTGACTGCGTCATGTGCATTTCGGCCCATCTGGAGCTGACCAGTATACATAAGGTAGTATCCGCTCGGGCAAGACAAGATTTTCGAGATCTTCATGCCATCTTTGATTCACCGACCCACCACGTCGTGGCTAGCTCGCAGACAGCTCTTATTCATATGCTGTTTGGTTGCGGTGTGCTGCACCTGAGAGACGCACAGTGGATCATCTTCCATTTTACAGCCATGGGGTTGTCGAACAGGACAGACTTTGCCTCCGGTCCATATTGCTAGGTTTACATAGTCTAAGGGTACAAATAATTTCAACATGGTCTCATGCATATCTCCACGCATCATCCCCAAGGGCGGCAATGCAGCCGTGATGCAGGAATTGTAGCTTTAAGCTCCTGCGACGACGGCGAGCCCGTCGTAAATCATCCGCTTCACCTCGTAGAATGTGCTCCGGTGCTGCATGATAGCGGACGGATCTGCCACACCAACGCTCTCCACTTCTATCCTGCCCATATTCGTCTTGCGCACTGCCACAGCCCCATTGATGACAAGCGTACCCTCGCCCCGGAACTCGGCCGTGTAGCCGGCCGATTGCATTGCCCGCCGCAAGTCCGTAAGCCGCAGGTCGCCGACATGCAGTGGCTGTGCGACCGACCGCACCGCCGACACCATGCTCAGAGGTAGTGTGTCGAGAACAGGTACCACCTCGATTTCTTTGTTGTCGAAATCCTCATCTCTTCCTTCTTCGCCCTTGAAAGTCGCACCGTCATCGTTGCTCGCCGTCTTGAGCCTCTTGTTGGAACCCGTGGACTCAGAGATAGCATGACTCTCGCCAAGCAACTGACCTGTGATCGTGACAATGCCAAGGCCTCGCAGATTCTGCCACTTGAGCTTCTTAATGAGGCTATCGCCGAGCTTCACGACCCATGCATTGGTATCAACGCTGGCGTCCACGGTCGTGCCAACTTCTGGCGTAAAAACATCAACCGCGCTCTCATCGGACGCACCGATCCGCGCGGCAAGCAGCTTCTTGCAGTCTGCGGCCAGAGTCGTCGTTTCCTCTTGACTGCCACCCACTAGGATCAATTTCCTTGGTTGGATGAGAGGGATGAGGTTGTTCAAACTGCGTTTGTCGTGAAGCCCGCTGAAGTCAACAAAGCCGATTCGTAGATTGACTGTGACCGTCTCCGAGGTTGTGATGAGTTTGGACGGCCCGAGAATCTCTTCCTCCACCACGTCCTCAACATCGTCGAGCTCGTCAGCTAAGTGTCCGTCTGCAGCTGTGGGCATGTCCACATCGTCTACAGATCCTTCTCTTCTTGCGTTGGACCGCTTATTCGAATCGGTCCCATTGCCCTCCTCCCATTTCCGCTTCGACCCTAGGCGTCCCTCGACATCATCGCGTCGAGAGTCCTGCGCGTCTTGCGCATCCTCTTCCTTCTCTTCGGCCCTGAGGTAATCTTCTGGGCGAATAGCCTCGCCGAATTGGTCGTCACGCTTGCGCCGGATGGTGAGCGGAAAGCACCGTTCACGGCCCCGCTTGGCTCGCACATCGTAATCACTTGCTCCGAGTTTCTTCGTGAGAACATTGATACCCAGGTCTTCATCGCTCAAAACCACTTTCTTCCTCGTTGCCTGTCCCATCGTGGTAGAGATGTTCAGAGCCTTACCTTGTTGCTCATTGTCTGATTCACCTGAGTCGGATGACGATTCGGAGGACCCATCATCCCCAACATCGGCTGGAGCTTCCAGAGACCCAGCAACCCCCGCGTTGAGTGTGGCCTGTAACTGACGTTGTGTTGCAAGCCACTGTTGGTATGTGCTGAGCTCGTCGCCTTCAAGTCCTTGTCGCTTGGCGTCTGTAACAGATAGTGCGCGGCCACCCCCATAAACAAGTTCGATGCTGTCGTTGCTGTCCGACTGGTCGATCGAGACGCCGTCTTTGCGCTCTTGCCACCAGTCCCACAAGGTCCTTGCGATAGATGGCTGTCCACTCTGAGCAAGAGAAGGCTTGTCAGTCAGAATCAGCAGATTCCTCGAGTCCTTTGCAAGCTCTCGGAGGAGCTGTTGAGAGAAGCCCCACTCCAAACTGTTGTCGCTTGCAACAATGACGCGACCTTCCGACTGTACATTATCCGAAGTTTGACTTAAGAGTTTTCGTATTTGTGCCTCTCGTTCCACAAGCCTCATGAATCGGAAGTCGAAGGGCGCGGCATCTTTTGCATGCTTGCCGTCATTGCCGTTGGCCTTTCGCTGGCCATCCGCCGTAGCCTCAAACTCACGGACGATATTGTCGTCCATCCATTCGAGCATGCTTCGCGCATAGCGCAAGGTGCTAGACACGTTACGGCCAGCCAGATACAACTTGGCCGCTCTCAAGGCGCTGTCGGTCTTGCCTACCTCGAGTCTCCACGCATGTTCGAGAAGGTAAGCTAGTTCCAGCACACGTCCGCTTGAGTCGGCAGGAATGAGGACCGTTCCTCCTCGGCTCACACACAGCTTGATCATGTCAATAAGTTGTTCGTCGCGTTTGCGGCGACCACCAGATGGCGCATTCCTGTCGGCGCCGCGACTGCTGCAGATAAGAGCTGTCGGTTTGCGTAGCTGCTCAATCACTTCTGCCCCGCCAGCTCCCGCTCCTCCGAGCCATGCAGCGCCAGCAAACACGTTTTCTCGGGCCTGATTCCAGTCTACGGCATAGACGATCGACTCGAGCCCGTGCTGAATATGCCATATCGTCCCACCGAGAGTGTGACCGGCATTAAAAGCCGTGATTGTGAGGCCGTTCAGCGGCGGTGAGAATGGTGATGGTAGAGGTTCATGCGGTTGTGAATACTTCAGCGGTTGGATGAGAGAAAAGTATCGGGTGATCTCTTCGGGTGTCGGGGCCTGGAGCAGGAAATTGCTGTCTGATGTAGGCTGCTGTGAGTAAGAGTATGCAACTTCGCTGAGGGAGTCGTGCGGGATGGTCGTTGCGGCCCGTGGCGTAGATGAGTATAGATCCTGGGTAAGTGTTCGTCCGAGGTCGATGACTGGCCTCGTGGCGTAAACGGGTATCCTGGTGAACTGTGGGAAGTTCTTGCAGCAGTGGGCAAAGGCTGCCAAATGCGACGTCGTTGCGTGTGTAAGAAGGATCAGTGATAGAGTCGGCACCTGTCTGGCAAGGTGTCAATGATAAGGAACGGACGGGAAGGAGACCAGCGCAACTCACTTTTCGAGCTCTTTGAGCTTCTCGACATCAAAAGATTCATCCCATCCAATATCTATTAGCACCTTCACTCCTCCATCAAGCTCGAGGATAGACTGCGAAGCGGCTGATTCGGAACGCGCGCCCTGCAGCGGGCAGAACGTAAACATTGTTGATTGAGGGTAGCGACGATGCGTGATGCATCCCAAGCAGTGGCTAGATTTTGGCGATCAAATAGGGATATGAATAAATAGCAATGACGCGAGTCGCATGGCGATCCTCTTGGGCTTTCCCGGATGACTTGGATTTGCGGAAAGGTGATTCGGCACCAAGAGCTGCTGAGGTCGATGATGGACCAGGGTTTGGCTGTTGCGTCAAAGGAATCGCAATGGAGATTGCGAAAGCACCCAGCTCGTCCCGTAAGCTTGAAGTTCAGCGCACGGATCATGCTTCCGAACAGTGCCAGGCAGTCATCCGTCAGGCTAGTCCACCATGAGACTAGCGTCGATCAAGCTGTTGATCGGAGCGGATGAACTTGTCGGAAAGTTATCGTGTCACTTCCAGATCCTTGGAGCTTCGAACCCAAGAAGTCACGGAGGCCACGAACTCACATTCGAAGACGCCACAGTTCAAAGCGTGATTTTGAACTGCGACTGGCATGGCGCACCTGTAGCGCAAACAAATTGTTCTCCATTGCCTCAGATCACATTCGAAGACTGGTCGTCTCAACGCTGACGCGCACGTTATTCTTACTGTCTCGCACCAGGGTTTCGAGACAGCAAGTCAGGTACCTTCGCATCCACACACACGCCACTTACGGTATACGCGACCGAAGAGCCTCGATACGCACTACAAGGCACCGCGATCATGGATTTCGGGATGTATCATCACCTGGGACAGACGGAGCCTACAGACTCCTCGCATCCCGAATTATCGAATCAGCCAGCGGCGCCCCAATTTCGACCTCCCGTTGCGCCCCAGCCTTATCACCAAGGGGCGGGTTATGCCGCGCCCTCCCCGGATCAACAACAATATCATGGCGGGCAGTCAGGCCCTGCTAACCCTTACGGGCAACCTCAAGGTCAAGATGTGTTTCAAAGCCAAGCACCTCCTCCGCAAGACCCTGGTCTTGCCTCACAGATGGGTGCCATGACATTAGGGACTGGAGAAGTACACACGAAGAAGAAAAAGAAGGATCGTCACGCTTACCATCAGGTGGAGGCTACTGGATCTTCGCAAGCATTCAATGGTATGCCAAGCGCAGGGACGCCAGCCTCACAGTTCCTCAATGCCGATCCGTCACTCTCTGGGCCTGGCGGGCAGTTCCTTAATGCCCAAGGAAATCAATTCTCTAGCCAGGCTGGCGCGAATATTGCGCCTGGTCCTGTATCTCCGAATCCATTCAACGCCCCTATCAATAGCAGCAGCGAGGCAAGTCCGTCTCCCGCTTTTATTCCGACTTCTGGGCAGCAGGGTGTGATGGCAAACGATATGCCGAGCGTGCCCGTTTCGAGAGACTCTGTTCAACAATACTACCTCGGAAACGTTTATCCCACTTTCGAAAAGCATGTCCCGCCACCAGCTACCACCTCTTTTGTAGCGTTTGATCAGGGCAACTCATCGCCGAAATACACCCGACTGACGATGAACAACATTCCCGCAACGGCTGAGGGCCTCGCCAGTACCGGCCTTCCTCTCGGCCTTCTTCTACAACCCCTAGCACCTCTGCAGCCAGGGGAGCTTGAAATTCCTGTCTTAGACTTTGGCGACTCCGGTCCTCCCAGATGCAGGAGATGCCGCGCGTACATCAATCCATTCATGATGTTCCGGTCAGGAGGCAATAAGTTTGTCTGCAACCTATGCACATATCCCAACGACACTCCGGCAGAGTACTTCTCCGCGACAACTCCCCAAGGCGTGAGGGTGGACCGTGATCAGCGACCGGAGCTTACACGTGGCACCGTAGAGTTCGTTGTACCAAAGGAGTACTGGACGAAGGAGCCCGTCGGGTTGCGGTGGTTGTTCCTCATTGACGTCACTCAAGAATCTTACAATCGAGGTTTCGTGGAATCATTCTGCGAAGGTATCCTTGCCGCATTGTATGGGGGTGATGGCACAGACGAGCCAGATGAAGGAGGCGAGGCAAAGCGTAGCATCCCAGCTGGTGCCAAGGTTGGCTTTGTTTCTTATGACAAGGATATTCACTTCTACAATGTCAGCGTAAGTTTTCCTCTGGTAAACTGGGACCAGGGGCTCGCAGTAACTAACCAGCCTCCAGTCAGCACTCGATCAAGCTCAGATGATGATCATGCCCGACCTCGAGGATCCTTTTGTACCTCTGAGCGATGGCCTCTTTGTTGACCCCTACGAGTCAAAAGATGTCATCTCATCTCTGTTGACAAGGCTGCCGGAGTTGTTCTCCAACGTCAAGAACCCGGAGCCTGCTCTCCTCGCAACACTCAATTCAGCGACGGCTGCCCTGGAGAAGACAGGCGGTAAAATCGTGTGCGCCTGTTCTGCACTCCCTACATGGGGCCCCGGTAGGTTGTTCCTGAGAGACGAAGGCAAGCACCCTGGCGGTGAGACGGACAAGAAGCTTTTTACAACCGAGCACCCTGCCTGGAAGAAGACAGCGGAGAAGATGGTGGCCTCTGGAGTAGGTGTCGACTTCTTCCTTGCTGCGCCATCAGGTGGATACCTCGATATCGGCACCATTGGTTATGTCGCCTCCACTACGGGCGGCGAGACGTTCTATTATCCCAACTTCATCGGAGGCAGGGATAATGCCAAGCTCTCTATGGAGATCAAGCACGCGGTGACACGAGAGACCGGCGTGCAAGCGCTGATGAAGGTCCGTTGCTCGAACGGTCTACAAATATCGGGTTATCACGGCAACTTTGTCCAGCACACTTTTGGTGCTGACCTCGAGATTGGTGTCATTGACGCGGACAAAGCCATGGGTGTGACGTTCACGTATGATGGCAAGCTGGACTCCAAGTTGGATGCTCACTTCCAGTCCGCTCTGCTGTATACGTCAGCCTCTGGTCAACGCAGAGTGCGATGCTCCAACGTGATCGCAAGCGTCAGCGACCACGCAAGGGATTGTGTCAAATTCATCGACCAGGATGCTGTTTATTCGATACTGGCCAAGGAGGCGAGCACAAAGCTGGACACGACGTCGGCAAACCTCAAAGACGTTCGAAACTTCCTCACGGAGCGAACCATTGATGTACTCGCGAATTACCGCAAAAACTTCCTGACACAGGCGCACCCCCCGAGCGAGCTGGTCATGCCCGAGAGACTCAAGGAGTTTGCGATGTACATGTTGGGCCTCATCAAGTCGCGTGCTTTCAAAGGTGGCAGCGAGAGTACTGACCGCCGAGTCCATGAGCTCCGCATGGTCCGGTCTATGGGCGCCCTAGAGTTGAGCCTGTATCTGTATCCTCGCATGATCCCACTGCACAACCTGCAACCTGAAGAAGGCTTTCCTGATGAGTCCGGCCACCTCAAGCTGCCACCAACAATTCGGACGTCATTCTCGTGCGTCGAGCCTGGAGGTGTCTACCTCGTGGACAACGGCCAACAATGTCTCGTCTGGTTCCACGCCCAGACCTCCCCCAACCTCATCGCAGATCTGTTTGGCGAGCAAAACACGAGCTTACAGAGCCTCGACGCCTACACGTCCTCGCTTCCCATCCTTCAGACGCATCTAAATGCCCAGGCGCGCAACATCATTGAGTTCCTCAAGACGATGCGTGGCTCAAAGGGTATGTCCATCCAGCTTGCGCGTCAAGGGATCGATGGTGCCGAATACGAATTCGCGCGCATGCTGTTGGAAGACCGCAATAATGAGGCCCAAAGCTACGTCGATTGGCTGGTCCATTTGCATAAGGGAGTGCAGCTCGAGGTAAGCAATAGATCAACAGCGCCTACGGCGTTGTCCTTCCTTCACCACGACTGGTAGCACTACTGACCGCTTCCCCATCCAGTTGACGGGACAGAGAAAGCGGGAAGACCAAGCGACAGAAGGCGGCGCCCTGTCCACTTTCAGCGGTCTTCGGCCTGCTTACTGGTGACGGATTTATCAAGACGACAGGGCGGAATCGACATGTGGGTGACAGCATATGGGGTTGGGAGCAATGGGGCAAGGGGCCATATGCATGAAAGCGACGCGGGTGTCTACTTGCTTAAAGGAAAAGATTAGTCGACAGTCGGTAGTGATGTTAACGTTGATTCGGAGAGCAACAGATGACGTGAATGCGTACACGCATTTCTCAAAACAAGTCCGTCAGCCGCTGGCCACGTGCGTATGGGCAGACCCATCCCTTGCTGAAAATAGCAGCCGTCCAATTTCAACATCATGGGCAGTCGGACTGGCCGAACTCAATCGGCGGGCAAAGCCAGTTTCGTACTTCGCAGCTGCTGCTTCCCACCGGGTACGACCACCGGCGAGTCACATCGAGTCAATGCCAGCTGCTGCGAAACTTCACATGTACTGAAAGTATCTCGTCTCGGTTGGTGGCTGGCTGTTCCCTCTGCCAAGAAACATTCCATTCGGCCTGCCAATGCTCTGTGGTACCCGAGATCAAGCCCCTACGTGAAGCGTCTGATTGTGTGGGGCTACGCCCTCGCGCATTGAGTCTTCTGGTAGGCGTCAATTCCTGCCAGCACCTTCAACGCTCACCTCTGAGGGGCCATAGCAAACGCCACTGAGATAGAAGGGAGTATCAGCTCTTCGAAGCGGCATCTTTCAGGGTAGCCCCCGAGGGTGGATTGCCATGTGCTCAATAGCCCATGTTGCAACAAAGGAGTGCCGGGGGCCATTGGTTAGGGGTACGGGGTGTTCTGCTTGTCAGTTCTCACACTTTCGAACATCACTATCAGCCCCATCAGCTCTGCTCCTCCTACACTGCACCGATCCGACACCTGGCCCAGTATTTGGGTTTCTTTTGCGCAGACCGGTGGCTACATGGCGTATAGCGCTTGTTGACCGGTGTCATGGGTCTTGTTAGCCTTGCAGAGAGGCAAGAGTGTGAATCAGAGAGGGAACAGGGCGGCCTGTTAATGTGATATATGACATTTCCGGGGGGCGGGGAGCCCGTCGGGCGGTCTTCATTAGTGTCACGACAGAAACACACAATTCAACCCACGCGCCACCCACACCGTGCCTCTCTTCAATACTCCCTATTCCCTGCTCACATCTGGAGTTCTTGATTTTATGTCTCAGTCCCTGGAAATGTCGGATGTCTTTGGAGCAAGGAGGGCGATCTCGTCTGACGCCAGCGCGAGTGCCCCTAAAGATGTTTCGCTCAGCGAAATGGACATGTCGCCAGCCGCGGGGATGGCAACAGTGGTAGTGCAGGTGACACGACATGAAAGTCCACATGTCTTGACATCTAGCGACTGACTAACTCCCTTGGCCACGATCGTAATATGGCTGGCTATAGCTGGCGTCGGTGGCGCGTATGAGTTTGCCTTGCCCAAGGTAGCAAGGGTTCCCAGAGACCGACCGTCCAGTGCACCCGAATACATGGTGGTGGTGCCTCACTCGATCCAGCGTTGCACGTAGTCTTGTCAACCTGGACGAGTCATTTCTTCGAACTGCCTTCAACACAGGGACCCAAGGGAGAGACGCTGCAAAAGCGCGGAAGCCCCTGCGTCGTCTATACGATTCTCGCGGAGTTCCGCGGCGACGAAGGCAACAATCCAGTCAAAACAGTGCAAGCTCCTTACTCCTGATGTCAAGGGTATCCCGTTTTCGACGCCCATCAACAAATAGGCGCTTGTGCCTTCCCGAAATTAGGCTGCCAGCGCCCGCCGGCCGCCCGATCGACTTAGTCGCCCAGATGCGGCGGAGCTATCAGCTGTCTTAGAGCCGCCTCCCGGTGCGCCGCCCTGGCGGCGATCTCATGCAATGCGCGAGCAAAAGGGCAAAGAAGAGCAGCTGGAGGAGGATCATGCACAGGCAGCATCTTCTGTTGGCGCGCGAGTGCCTCATGCACGTATCCTCTACGTTGAGTGGACTGATCGCCGCCAGGGTGCCAACACGATCCCGACCCGCTCTGGCTCTCTGCAGCTGGTCAAGACCGCCGGATCATGGAATATCGAAATCAAAAATGAGAAGTGCAAGCAAGGTCATGGCGATAGTGACGACATACATGTACACGCTGTCGAACTACCCATGTGAGACAGCAATGGACGAATTGTACGGGATCCATTGTCTACACCTGAAGCTCACGGGGAAGGATGTAAAAGCTGGCGGAGCAGGTGAGGGGCCGTACAGAAGTGCAATCCTGTCTCAGATTCCCTTGTCAACCTGCACAGGGATTCCAACACTACAGAAACTCAACCGTTGGCTACTATCTCGTCGACAGGTGTGGTTAGCGCACATGCATCTTAGCTTGCACCAGGTAGTCAACCTGGAGAGGCTATCTAGACCTCAAGAGCCCGTAGACGCCAGTCAACCACGTCTTAAAGGGGCAGGGGACGGGTCCCGGGTGACACTGGACGTGTGTGCATGGGCATGTCAAACAGACACATATTGTTGCCGGACCTCCAAGAGTCGAGGCGCCGAAACATCGCTAACGGCATATGTCATGGCATGCGACATGTCTCTTCGCCCATTCTGCAAGCTGCTCATCAAACCTAGCCATACAACGGCGTCTGTCGCCCCGGATCAAGCCACCTTTGACTGAGGAGCCCCTCGTCTCTTCATCGAGGTCTCACCCTCGCTCACATGACTGGCTGTATATGTCAGCCTATGCAGAGTTCGACCAGTACCGCGTGGCCGGCGCCGTTTTGTCTCATCCAAAACGAGTCATCCCCTGCGGCCCCGCCAGTACCTTCATACAATCGCAATTTACCTTTAATTTCTGTCTTTCCTAATGGATGAAATCCCGGAAAGGCTTGAGTGCTGAACGAGGCAGCAGACAGTCATGGCCACACTACCTGCCCTTTACGAGCAGCAGCATCGGAGTCGAAAGCAGCTGTGACAATGTCTCGGGCCTTCTCACCCTGATACTAAACCATCGGCGCCCCATGCAACAAATGCTGATCTGCAAGCAACCTGTCAGAATCGATATCTGACAAGACTGAGTCAGCCAGTCAGGAGGTGAGCAGAGTCATTCGAGACCTCGGCCTTGTGTTCTTTTGTCAACATCCTAACCGGCCTGAGGCACTGGGCCATTGACCTCAATATTGTCAGTGCAAAGATGCGGCTGATCGCGCGGGACGGACCGGTAGCCTTCTCGGAATTCAATCAGGCTCGTAAAATCTTTTTGGATCGAGTGTCCGCCCGGCATCATCACATAAATCCGAATGCTAAATCTGTAGGACTGGAGTCGTTTTCGTTGGCGCTACTTATTACCCAAGCCGCGAGCACCCCAGCGACCTGCGGACGGTAAAGCTGAGTACCACGGAGCAATCGACCAGCACCAATACTTGACTGTAAAGTAGGAAGTCATCAAACTGTTCGGGTCCATGCTTCTCTTCACTTAAGGGGAGCTTGTCATCCAACTCTGATGGAGCGGTTTCTCCTTGCTCGATCCGCGACCAAAAGCCCCAGCTCCTGGCCCATGACGTCTTCCGGGTGGCGTCAAAGTTGACATGTCTCAAATGTCGCCATGTCGCATTCGAACTGGAGGTGGAAATGTGTGCTGTGACTGAAATCTAGCATACTCAGCTCTTTGAGCGAAAAAGAGGGTCAAAGCGACCACAATTGCAACCACGGACGCCGCAACCGACCATACAATGTCATTCTGCAACGTCTCCTCTGCCTCCAACCAGGGAGAGCCAATATCATGGTACTGCCACTAGGAGACGCCCATCACTGCTCAGCCCAGAGCAATTCTTCGAATAAAATAAATGCTGCCACGGAAATATGTGCCTAGCCGACACATTCCATACCAATTACCGCTCGGTGATCGTACGCGAAACAGACTTTCAGGCCACAGCGCCATGAGAGAAAGAAAGTAAAAAGAGAAAACCCCGACAACTGCCTTCCGTTCCCCTCGTCATTGGCTTTGACGATTGAGCGGGCCAGATGGCTGCGGCGACTTGGCGCTGTGGGCCTGGGGTATCGTTTGCTCACTAGTGTTGTCGGGAAGAAGGAATACCAAGGCTCGCAACCTTGGGCAGATGAGACGTAGAAAGCCCGCATGCAACCAAGACCATCGCACTTCAGACCAGACCGAGATTGAGAAGGGGGTCTGGCCAGGTGTACGTCGGTTGCCTTTTCTCACTAGCCCATCTCAGTGCGGGCCACGCTGGGCCCAGGAAAAGAAAGT